CGCGCCGATGTGTACGTTGTGATACTTGGCTGTGTGTTAAAGCGCGCAAATGTACGTGGCACCGAAGAGTTCGTGGCACTTTGAAGCCTGTTGAACCGCGCGCATTTGAGTGGCACAGAAAATGTTATGTGCACTGCGAGACCCTTTAAGACGCGCACATGTAAGAGGCGCCCAAGGTTCCGCGGCACCTTGGAACCCTTCGATACACGCATGTGCGCGTGGCACCGAATCTGCTTCGTGCACGCTGAACACGTTGAGGCACACAAGCGTGCGCGGCGCCGCGGGAGCCGTGGCACCCTGACTCTCGTTGAGACGCGCAGATGGGCGGGGCGCCGAGGGGGGGAGGTGCTTTGAGATCCTTTGAGACGCGCCGATGTGCACGTGGCGATCTTTTGAGCCCCGCTGCGGCGCCCAAGTGTGCGTGGCGACAAAGGCTTCGCGGCACTGCTGAAATCTCTTGAGGCGCGCACGTGTGCGCGGCGTCGAAGCTGGTGTAACGCAACTAGACTGCCAGAGGCACCCGGATGTGCTTGGTGCCGAGGTGGGGCATGGCATTTTCAGACCGTTTGAAATGCGCGGATGTGCTTCGCGCCGAGGGGTTCGTGGCACGCTGAAACCATTCGAGACGCGCGAATGTGGGAGGCGTCGAAGATTTCGCGGCTCTCCGAGACCCTGCGAAGAGCCCTGATGCGGGTGGCAACGAAGGTTCTATGACACTCTGAAGCCCTTCGAGGCGCGCGGCTATGGTCGGCGCCGAGGGTTTCGTGGCACATTGGGACCTCGCGAGACGCGTGGATTTGACTGGCGCCAAGGCTCGCTGCGCTTGGAGACCTCGCGCGCAGATATGTACGGCGCCGAGGGTCTCGTGGCACTCTGAAACCCGCTGAGACGCTCGGATGCGCTCGGCGCCGAGGGTTTCGTGGCACCCTGAGAGCCTACGAAACGCACGGATGTGATCGGCGCCGAGGGTCTCGTGGCCGTTTGAGCCCTCGTGGGACGAGCGGATGTCCTTGACTCCGAGGGTTCCGCGGCACTGTGAGACTCTATGACACGCGCGGACGTGCGTGGCGCCGAGGTTCTGTTACAATTTGAAGTCGTTTGAGGCGCGCGGATGTGATCGGCATCGATGAGTTTCCTGGCAAATGTCAGCCCTCTGAGACGCCCGGACGCGCTCGGTGTCAAAGGTTCGGTGGTACTCTGAAACCCCTCGAGGCTGCTTGAAAGCGTCATTGACCGATCCGGCACTCCTCCTTCTCCTGCTTCTCTTCTCACTCCTCATCCTCCTCCTCCTCCTCCTCCTCCTCCTCCTCCTCCTCCTCCTCCTCCTCCTCCTCCTCCTCCTCCCTCCTCCTCCTCCTCCTCCTCCTCCTCCTCCTCCTCCTCCTCCTCCTCTCCTCCTCCTCCTCCTCCTCCTCCTCCTCCTCCTCCTCCTCCCCTCCTCCTCCTCCTCTCCTCCTCCTCCTCCTCCTCCTCCTCCTCCTCACTCCTCATCCTCCTCCTCCTCCTTCTCCTCATCCACCTCCCTCCTCGTCCTCTTTCTCTTCCTGTTCCTCTTCTTCCCCCTCTCCTCCTCCCCTCCTCCTCCTCTCTCCCTCCTCTCCAGCCTCCTCATCCTCCTCCTTCTCCTCCTCCACCTCCCTCCCCCTCCTCCTCCTCCTCTTTCTCTTCCTTTCCTCTTCTCCTCCCCTCCTCCTCCTCCTCCTCCTCCTCCTCCCTCCTCCTCCTCCTCCTCCTCCTCCTCCTCCTCCCTCCTCTCCTCTCCTCCTCCTCCTCCTCCTCCTCCTCCTCCTCCTCCTCCTCCTCCTCTCCTCCTCCTCCTCCTCCTCCTCCTCCTCCTCCTCCTCCTCCTCCTCCTCCTCCTCTTCACTCCTCTCCGGAGCACTCTTCGTAATACCGAAGTAAGGGCCGCGTAGTCTCAAACTGGTTCGAGTACGGCGGTGCAGCAGCCCCGACGCGCTCAACGCTGGTGAGCGTTTTTTTATTATTCGGCGTTTCGACATTGGGCGGAAGGGAGGGGGAGGGGGGGTCTGGCTCCGGACCTCTGCCTAGTGCGACTGTTTGCAACAGTGCGTCCCATGGGGGAGACTCCACCTGCCAGAAACAAACGGCCAAAAACAGCCAAGATCTACTCCGGGGAGGTGGGGCGGTTGGCGGCCCGCGCCGATCGGCAAAACAATGAATCAAAAAAACGATCACAACTGCGCAGAACTTTGACCATCCCTTTAACCCACGCCGACTCGACGAGCTTGCGTGCATTTTGCGATGCGCCTGCTGAAAGCCATCGCCGGCCTGACACGCATGCCAATGCCACCTTGTAGAAAGTGCACGGTTCAAACCTTCCTGTTCTGCCTGTAGGTGTACCCTGGGCGCTCACGGACTTGGGCATTGACGAGTTTCCTGAAGACCTGCTGGGAAGGTGGAAACCTATCCGCGGCGCTGGGCTGCGCGCAATGCTGAGGCGCTTCCCCTGCGAGTGCGCTCTCCCTCCATCTTGCGGCAGGCTCCTGCCTGGACGACCTGGGCCCTGGCTTCCCGTACAGTCAACATGTGTATTAAGGACGAGTGGCAAGGACGCAAGCCCCTTGGAGGCCGAAGTTGGGATGTATTGGCCGACGGGCGACCACAACCCCAAGGGGGCAAAGGTACCCGAACCCAAGAAGTGGCCAGTGAAAACGGCACAAGGACTGGCCGCAGAGGCAAGCACAAGGGTACACGTCGTTCATTTCTAATCGTGCACATTTCTAATTGCGCTCGTTTCTAATTGTTCCTGGCCCCCTAGTGGCCAGGAAGAGGCCCAGGATAGAACAATTAGAAATGAAAGGATCTTGGCCCCCCCCAAAAAATACCCCAGTGCGACCCTACGTAGAAGTTGGAGCTCCTAGGAAAGCAGCATTAGTTGCTATGATATGCTATGCTATACTATGCCATGCTATGCTGCGCAATGCTATACTATGCTGTGCTATGCTATGATATGGTATGATGTGCTATGATATGATATGATATGTTATGATATGTTATGTCATGTTGCGCTGTGCTATGCTATGTTATGATATGCTAAGCTGCGCTGTGTTATGCTATGATATGCTATGCTATGCTATGCTATGCTGCGCTATGCTGTGCTATGCTGGGCTTTGCTATGATATGTTGTGCTGCGCTGTGCTGTGCTACGCTCTGCTATGCTATGCTGTGCTCTGCTATGCTAAAGCTCAGCGGAGCTAAAATGAAGGTAAGCTAAGCTAAGATAAACCTGAGCTAAGATGAAGCTAAGCGAAGCTAAGATGAAATAAGCTAAGCTAAGATGAGATAAGCATCGCTAAACTAAGGGAACGTCACTGGGGGAACCGCGGGGCGGATGCCGGGGAAACCGCCCGGGGCGAGGAACACTGCCCGGCCCTCTAAGCAAACCGAGTAAGAATCCTTCTAGGCAGAGCCTAGGTAGGGAACAAGAACTTTCGAAGAATTAGAAATGAACAGTGGGTATGCACCCCAGATGAGGGCGCGCGTCCTTACCAGGCGCCTGGAAGCCCCGAGGGTCCGCTGGAGGCATGCGGCAGGAGAAGGATGATGAGGAGGCGGAGGAGGAGGAGGAGGGAGGGGGAATGAGGGGCCAATGAGGAGTAGTCGACGATCGCGTTCCACTACTCGCAAAGTAACTACTCGCAAATGGGCTGGATCCCCCGCGGGGGATCTACGAGAAATTACATCGAAGCAGACATGTGTTGTTCGGGAGTGTGCGAGTAGGCACTTTGCGAGTAGTGGAACGCGCAAGGCGAAGTAGGAGGAGGAGGAGGATGACGAGGAGGAGGAGCCCCCTTGTGGGGCCACCAGTCTGCGCGGCTCAGGTTTCCTGCACCCTGCACTGGTTACAGGTTCCAGTTTCCAGTGTCGCAGGTACATTATGTTTCCTACTGTAACTTGTTGCTGTCCACGCCAGGGGGGAACCCCAAAACCACCCAGTCACAAAGGTCCAACAAAGCTCCTCTGAGTTCTAGGACGCGTAAAAATGAAGCACAATCGCGCCTCCGAAGCAACAATCCTTTGCAAATTACGCCAGATGCTCGCTACTGCAGCTCCGACATCTCAAGGTTTATGTTCGAATATATATATATATATATATATATATATATATATATATACATGTAAATACTTGTGTATAGAAATATATGAAAATATAGCTCGCTTCGGCTCCCGGGCCAGGCACCTTTTCCATCTGGGACAGCACAGGGCCAGGCGTTGACTGAGCTAGAAGCGCGAGAGCAGCAGAGACAAAGCGGACGAGGAGCGCGACAGCGCTCGAGAGGACCACCTGTGCGACCCTCACCCGACAATAGTGGCGAGAAGGCGCGTCGGGATGGCCACGGGGAAAACTTCGAGCCAGATATGAGTGCGTCCGACCTGTTGCCTCTGCTCAGCCCTCAGTTGTGAAAACTACCAGCTCGCTTCGGCTCCCGGGCCAGGCACCTTTTCCATCTGGGACAGCACAGGGCCAGGCGTTGACTGAGCTAGAAGCGCGAGAGCAGCAGAGACAAAGCGGACGAGGAGCGCGACAGCGCTCGAGAGGACCACCTGTGCGACCCTCACCCGATCCCGAAGGTTCAACTGGCCGAAGGCCGTATATATAAAGAAGAAACCCTTTTCGGAGAGCAGGCAATGTGGGCTATCTCATGGCAAGAGACTGGAGGGCGAGACCAGGCTGAATGTGCAACGCTTCGACGATACAGCGCGAAGCGGCCTGGGCGAGGAGACGAGGATACACGGCGGCGACAGCAGTGCGCTTTCGCCCTTGCTCATCGTTGCCCTCCAGAATTACACGACGATTGCCCGAGCGACTGCAAATGCCTCTTTTTCCAGAGCAGACAAGCTGTAAAGGGTGCATGGCGCCCGCCCCCCAAGACAAGATGGTCGTGGCTTTCTTGAAATCAGCGCCGTACTGACACTGATGCAGAACTGACTTCTGGCAAGACGGCCGGCGACACAGGCGAGCGAGGGGAGGGCACGACCAGATCTGCGAGGTCTGTGGATTCTCGAGAAAGACGGGCACACGGGCAGAGATGCACTCACGAATTATGATCACTGTCATGCGCAGCGTGGCATTGCCCGCGGCGGCGCGAGCCTGCTCGGACGATGAGAGGTCGGGCAGCCCGAACGGGTAGCGGTCCGACCTGAGCGGGCGCCGCAGGGCTCGCGTCCAGCTGGCGCAGGGGGTGCCCAGCCAGACAGCACCCACTGCGCGCGACCGGATCCAGCCGACGACTGTGGCGATGAAGGCAGGCCGCACATGATCCTCCAGTGGGCTGCGCTGCCAGTCGAGCCCAAATGCGGCGAAGCCGCGGGCAAGCAGCGCCTCGGCGATCCTGCCGGCTCCGCAGAAGAGCTCCAGCACGGGGCGGCGCCTGAGGGCCGGGCCTGGCGCGGCAGCGCGGCGATGCTGCCGCTGCAGGTGCCGCTTCACCGCGTCCGCCGGCGGGCAGCCGCCGTCGCCGCCTGGGCCGCGGGCCGCCTGCGTGGGCGACCGCCGGCGGCCGGCTGCCTCCCCTGAGGCAACGGGCGGAGGAGCGACGCGGCGGCGGCCGGGACGCGGCCAGTCGCTAGCCAGCTGGGCAGGCAGCCGCCGACCAGCGCCTCCAGGTTGCTCTCGACGAAGGCCCCGAGCTCCATTACCTTGGGCGGGATCCAGGCGAGCTCGTCCAAGAGCTTGGTCTCCTTTGTGTAGCGGTTCAGGCTCTTGGCTGTCCGCCAGCGGCCGCGCCGCTGGATCTCGCCCAGCTGGCGCCTCTGGGAGAGCATGTCGTCCGAGGCCCCCCCACGGCGCAAGCTGTACAAGTGCGGGCGAAGCCGGTCCAGCGACAGCCGACGGCAGGCCTGAGCGAACAGCGCGCCCAGTAGGCCCACCTCCTGGCCCCACAGCGGCTCCGACGGCGCTGTGGACTGCTTCAGAGCGTGCAGCAGCGGGTTGAGCCAAGCCTCGCGATCGAAAAGGATGCTCTCGTCGTTCACGCCCGTCTTGCCTGGCCCCTGTCCACTCTCGTGCAGGAGCAGCCCGAAGAACTGGTAGCCGGCGCCCGCCGCCACCGACGGCGATATCAGATGCCGCCCGCGCAGCTTCGCCGCCTCGTCAGGCCTGAGGTACGAGGCGAACATGACGAGGATGCAAATGGCCAGCCGTGGGAACCCGTCGTGGACCAGGAGGCCCGCCAAGGCGAACACCACGCGACGCGGCAGTGGCAGCCGGGCGCGCGCAGGCGCGCGCCGCGCCCACGCCGCAGCCGCGCGGTGAGCCCTCGGCAGCAGCAGCGAGGTCCGCTTGTGGAACGAACCGAGGAAGTGCGCCACCGCCGCCAAGAGGACGTTCCCCTGGTTGCCGCCGCCGCCGAGGAGGAACTCGCTGTCCATGTACAGCACCAGAGCCTCGTCCAGGCCCGAGTGCGTCGCCCAGTCCGGGCGGCGCTCGACACAGAAGTCGACGAAGCTGGTGAGGGCCCCCCGGTAGAGACGAGCCGTCGAGCTCCTCACCGCCAGCCGCTCGAGCAGCGACAGCCCCGCCACCGCCGTCGTCTCCGCCGCCAGCGCTCGCGCATGGCTCGCACGCTCGGCCCGGAGCGCCGAGGGCGCCGGGACGGCCGAGCGGCGAGCCGCCGCTGCAGCCTGGGCCAGTGCCAGCACCAGCACAAGCCGCCGCATGGGCGAGCAGCCCGCCTCCAGGGGGCTGCGGCGCCGGCCGACTGCCAGAGAACCAGCCAGCGCGCCCGCGGCTGAGCGCGTCGGAGGGGTTGGCCTCAGAAGGTATCCACCTCACTGCCAGGGTTGAGCCAGTGGCCACGGAGAGCGCGCAGATCTTGCGAAGCGTGCTCTGGAGGTGTTCACTGCGGGCCCGACCCTTACCGACGGACAAGACGAGCGGCAGGTTGTCGGAGAGGATGAGGAACCGAAACCCGAACGCGGATGTGGACCTCAGGAGGTGCCGATACCCAAGAACGAGCGCTTCCCCCTCCAGAGCCAGGATGTTGGCCCTCCCCTCGATGTACACGGCGGCGACGGAGCCCCAGGCGGGCCCACGGATGAAGTGGGACGGGACCTCGTCGAAGTCCACGACGGGCCTCATGTCCATGATCGACTTGCAGGTGTCCCCAGGAGCCCTCGGCAGCTGCAGCTCGACCAGGCCCTCAGAGGCCTCTCCCAAGACGCCCTCGAACGGCAGGCCCTCGGTGATGCCATCCCCGACGAGCTGAGTACTCACCCCGAAGTCGCCCTCGAGGCCCCCGAACTGCTCGGACGAGTTATCACCGTTGATCCCGATCGCCCTACGCCTTGCCTGCGCACCTCCCTCGACCTTGCACCTCCACTTTTCAGCGACTCTTCCAATGGTGCCCACACGGTCCTTTGGGGCGCGACGAGCGACGACGCCCAGCCCAAATGGCGAGGCGCCCGCGCAAGCAACTCGCCCGTGCCACGGGGCACCAAGGTCAACAGTGCAGAGCGGCAGCAGGTCGTGGACTAGCTGGAGCTCATGACGGACCGCGGGCCAAAGCGGCGACGCGACTGGCCCAGTGGCCTCGACGTAGGCGTAGGTGGCCCCGAGGATGCACAGCAACTCTCGTCGCAGCAGCAGCGCCCAGGTGATGTGGCCGGTCAGAACGCGCAGCAGGAAGCCGCTGATGACCTGCCTCCTGAGCGCGGCGCGAATGGCCGCGCGCAACCGCCAGATGTTGCGCGTCTTGAGGCTCAGCCAGCGCCCCTCGCGCAGCGATAGCCCCAGAAAGTCGCGATCCTGGGAGGGCGCCTCGAGCTCGTGCACGGTGAGCCCGTGGCGCGTCAGGTCGTCGGTGATGGCCTGCAGCCGCTCGCTCACAGTCTTTGGAGAGCCGCCGAGGACGAAGTAGTTGTCCACGTAGCCGGCGCCCGCGACCGAGTCCAGGTCGCTCGTGAGCTGGCAGCCGCAGCGGCCGTCAAGGATGAGGTCGCTCTGAGGGAAACCAGCGCGGCCCAGCGATGCCTCCAGCACCGTCTGGCAGAGGTGCAAGGCCCAGCTGAAGCCCATCGGCAGCGCCACCACCTGGGGCAGCAGGAGCGACTCGCCCTCCACCCCGTCCACAGCGACCCCGTACGGAGCGAGATGCTTGGCGGGGACGGGCGGCAGCACGAAGAACTCCTCCATCCCGTCCGGGACCCGCATGTGGTAGAAGGCCACGTCCAGGTCCACCGAGGCGATGGAGACCCGCACGTCGCCCGTCTCGAGCCGCCCCCAGGCGGACGCAGACGGCAGCTGGGTGCGAGGCGCATCGACGAACGCGCAGTTGGCGAGCCGCGCGTCGAAGATAACCCTCAGACGACCACTCTTCTTTGGCACGAAGAAAATCCCCATGTTGCCTCGGCGCCCTCGCGCCGGGGCAAACGTCAGCATGCTGCGCTCCATCATGGCGCTGAGGAAGGCGGCGTAGTCGGGCAGCGAGCGCAGCAGCGCAGGGTCCGTGCACGGGCCGCGCGGGCACGCCTCCGCCCGCAGCTGCCGCGCCTCCTCGGGCTCGCGGAGCATTTGGCACCTCCACTCCCGCAGCGCGGCTGAGTCACGCTCGCCCAGCAGCCCAAGGAGCGGAGCGGGCGGCTGCGACACATCAGGCCAGGAGACAAGGTCTGGCACGTAAGGAGTGGTGGGCCCGCCGCCGTCAGGGTACAGCGCGGACCCAGCCCCGCAGGGCCCCGTTGTTGTCGGAGACGTCGTCACGATACTCAGGTGGCTCAGGGCCCAGAGCAGCGACCGAGTCCCAAATGTGGGCGGCGGCACAGCGCTGCCCGGCAGACGGCGTCGGCGCGGGCGAGGACTGGTCGCCGTAGAGGTCATTCAGAGCATGCGCGGCAGCATTGGCACGGTCCAGCGCGCGCGCGAGGGCATGGCCGGCCCGCGCCCGCCGCCGAGTCCCGGACACGCGGGACACCACGTCAGCAGCAGCCAGCGGCGGTAGCGGAAAGATGCCCCGCTGCCGGTCGTCGTCCTGCAGCCGGCGCCCTGCGCCGCCAGGGGAGAAGCCCACGCTGTTGGCGGGCGCCGCGGGGGCCAAGGGGGACGGGGGCGGCGGCTGGCCATGCCATCCGCCCCGGGGCGAGTCAGCCATCGCCCCCTGCGGCGTTGGGCCCGCCGCCACGGCCGCTGCGGCCGCCGCCGCGCCTCCCCCTTCCGCGCCCTGCACCAGGCTGGCCGGGCACGCCCCCGGCGAGGGCGCGCTCCTCTCGCGCCTTGCGCCTCTCCTTCGCCACCGCCATCTCCCGCTGCAGCTCCTGCGCGAGGTGGTCGCGCAGGTCCGGGCAGACGCACACCGACCCGTCGAGCTCCTGCGACCCCATCATGACCGCGCGGTCCGCCGCGCCGGCATCGCCCGGGGTGACCAGCTGGCGGTAGCGCTCCTCCTGCACCTGCACTGAACGGGCCACGAGCTCGAGGTGGGCCAGGTTCGTGGCGTGCCCCCGATCGTAGGTCACTGCCGACTCCAGCACCATGCACCCCATCTGGTGGATGTCCACCCCCGGCGACTCGGGGTCGAGCCCCGTCTCAGCTAGCCACCGCTGGTGGTGGGCCGTCGGGGTCCCCGACCTCTGAGCCATGTACTGCAGCACCCACAGCAGCGTGCGCGGTCCGCGCACTGGCCAGTCAGGCCAGGGGAACTCGACCATCTGGGAGACCATGACCCGGAAGTCGGCACGCCGCACTCCTCGCAAGTCCCTCACGACGGCGAAGATGCGGGCGTCGCCGCCAGGGCTGGCCTGGGCGCCGCCAGCCGGCACGCCCGCGGGCGCAGGCACTGCGGCAGGCGGCGCGACGCCGGGGGCGGCGGCCACGGCAGGCCCGGCTGGCCCAGGGGCCAGCATGCCGAGCCCAGCGGGCGGCACGGGGGCCCCCCCTGCGACAAGAGCCGCCGGTGCGACTGCAGCAGCGACTGGAGCTGGCGCCGGGGCGAGCGCGCCACCGGCAGCGCCGCCTGCAGGACCTCCGAGCGCAGCCACGAGCGCGGCCACTCCGCCGCCCTCTGGGCCTGGCGCACCGCCAGCCGGCAGCGCTAGGGCGCCCGCGGGCGCCGCCGCAGGGGCTGCCGCAGCGGGGGCACGCCCGGCGACGTTGGGCACCACGGGGCCAGCGGGCGCCGCGAGGCCCAGGCGGGCGCAGGCGCGGCCGGCGGCAGCGGTGAGCGCCGCGACCGTGGGGATCGCCCGGAAGCGGTAGTACCTCGCCGCCGGCGCCCACGGGAAGACCCCGCCAGGCGCCCCGCCGGGCAGCAGGTCCCAGTGGAGCACGTCCGCGTCGCCGACCACCTGCTCGTCGTACTCTTCGCCGTCGACCGTGACGATCGCTGCAGTGCCAGGGGTGCCGGGGTCCAGGGCGACCACGACGCGCTCGTGCACGAGCGCCCTCCCACCAACGTTGTATTGGATGCCGAGGAAGTCCCCGACGGTGACGCCCGCGGAGGCGAGCGAGCAGTGGGCTGGAGGACCAGGCGCCGCCATCACTGGGCAGCGAGAGCACGCTGGCGCAGCACCTTCACCTGTGCGCGGGCCTCCTCCCCCAGGTCGTCGATCTCGAGGTCACGCCCCGAGCGCAGCCACGCACCGGCGTAGCCCGCGAGCCGCCGCAGCGCCTGCAGAGCCACCGCCGCCACCACCGCCAGCAGCGCGCCGGCGAGCAGGCCAAGGGCGAACCCGGCCCCGAAGCCCCGGCACTCTGCCGAGGCGGGCGAGGGGCAGGGCCCAGCTGCCTCCGGCTCGGCCGCCGCGTGCGGGGCCACCGGGCACGCCGGGCACGACAGCTCCGGCGAGGTGCCGCAGGTCAGCACCGGGCAGGCCGGGCAGGCCGGGCAGGCCGGGCAGGTCGGGCAAGTCCCGCAGCGCGGCTCGCAGCGGGCGTCGACCGCTGGGCACGCCAGGCAGGATGGACACGCCGGCGGCCGCGCCAGCCAGGCCGCGCCGATCTGCCCCAGCCACGGCGCGGCGAGGCGGACAGCGCCGAGCATCCGCGGCGGAGGAAGGGGCGAAGAGGCGCGCCCCCGAAAACTTCGAGCCAGATATGAGTACGTCCGACCTGTTGCCTCTGCTCAGCCCTCAGTTGTGAAAACTACCATATGCCCTCGCATGATGTTTCAATACGTTTTCAACACGGCGCCGACACATCCAAGCATAGCTCTCATAGGTGCGATTGTAATAAAATAGGGGGGCCCGGCGGCAGAGTGCGAATGCCATTACGGAGAATTGAACGTCAGGGAACCACAAGGAAGATCGACGTTAGCTTAGTGTTGTTCCTCTCCCTCCTCCTCACTCCTCCTCACTCCTCCTCACTCCTCCTCACTCCTCCCTCCTCCCTCCTCCCTCCTCCCTCCTCCTTCCCCTCCCCCTCCCCCTCCGCCTCCTCCTCCTCCTCATCATCATCATCCTCCTCTTCTCCTCCTCCTCCTCTTCCTCCTCCACCCCTTCCCTTACAGAACAACTCCTCTCTGTAGAACACCCAAATGTGTCAGTAGAGCGGGCCGGGCACTTGGCCTGACAACTCCCAGCAATTAATGACCCTGGAGCTTGAGACTTACAACAATTCCAAGGATGGAAAGCGGGTGGTGTTCAAAATGTGATTCTCGCCTTAGCGCCGCGACAAGTCGTCTTCAAAACCGCCATATGTTCAAAGATGGAGGGTGACCCATTGTCTTGATACTTTCATCGTTTCCATGCCGCGCACACTCGTCTTCACATGTTCAGCAGTTTCACGGATGTAAGGCTGATCAGTACGAACAGTCGCGTACATGCGTCACAAGCGCTTGCAACAGGGTCAAAAATTCGTACGGTTGAAATCCCAGCAACTGCATTCTGGCACGATTCAGCACTGTCGGGCGCCAACAGCCACATGGATTCGCTGTGCTTCAATCCCAGGACTGGTGGTCTGACACGGTTTAGGATTGTCAGGACGCACCAATGAAGACAATTCGCGGCGCTGAAATCCAAATGATGGTACTTTGACACAGGTGGGGATTTCGAATCGGTTGTCTTCCAACGAGGCACGTCCCACAGTCAAAATACATTCTTACAGGGGATTCTGGCAAAATCGTTGAGGCGCGTTGGGTTTCCACTGGTCCTCCTCCTCCTCCTCCTCC